TCTATATTATAAGGGCCTACTTAACTAATATAATAATATACTATATATAAGTTATCTAGTAATATACTAAGTATAAGTCTCTATATAAGAATACTAAAAATAATAATACTATACTATAGTATACTAAGATAACTAAGTAAACTACTATATAAAGAAATAGAGTACTAGAAAGTAATACTATAGTATAGTTTTAGCTTTAAGAAGTATAAGAAGTTAAAAAGTAGGAAATAGAAGCTCTTATTAATTAATATAAGAAAGGATTAAACCTCTAGAGATATAATAAGGCTAACTAATAGCTATAAGGTTATAGCCTTTTAAAGGGGGGGAGCAGTATTAGGGCCTATATAATATGCTATATATAGGAACTGCTGTTAAGACTATAATATAGATATATATATATAACTATATAGTGCGCATCTCTAATTATAGGTTTAGAAGGTTTTCTAAACTAGTAATTAGTTCTACTACTAATTGACTGCTACATTTACCATGCTATCTATATCAATAACAAGTCTGTGTACTCATAATATCGCACAATCTCACAAGACCTCACTATAATATTAGTTAAGGACTAGATAAAGTAGATATATAAGATATAAGAAATAATAAGAAGGAACCTATAAATTATAATTAAGATATAGGTTAAGTATTATAATAAGTACTATAATAATATTTTATTCTTAATAAGAGAAAAGGTTTTTCTATCTATATAGAATCTAAAGCTCTAAAGGCCTAAGAAGAAGCTAATCTTAAGGTTTACTAGACTACTAGAGGTTATTACTACTATTAATAAGTAAGTATATACCCTATAGCTACCTAAGTCCTTTAAATAGGTCTATTTAATATTCTATATCTTATTACTTTAACCCTAGAGAGAATAGAAAGGTAAAATATTACTAGAGGATATCCTTCCTATTATAATTAATAATAAAGAGGAATAGGAAGTAGAGGAAGTCCTTAATAAGAGAATATAATATTAGAAGAAATAATACCTAGTAAAGTAAAAAGGATTCTTAGAATATAAGAACTCTTAGGAGCTAGTAGAATACCTATAAAATACTAGTAAAGTACTAGCTAGATTTAAGAAAAGATAGGAGATTTATCCTTATTAAAGGCTAGTATAAAAGAAATATTAAG